TCTTACTAGCTTTAAAAATTCCTCTGTTAGGACACAGGCATGGTAGAAGTAATAGCATGTACTCTGAACTCTGGTTTTAAAACTGTTCATCTGAGTCAAAGCAGATATCTTTATTATTTGTAAACCAGCAGTTCCACCACTTAAGTAATTAGGTCATTGTTTTATGTTATACTTTGTTTAATAGATAGATTCCTGGACTTCAAACTCAGAGATTCAGATTCTTGACTTAGGAATATGTATTTTAGAAAGCTTAACAATTCTGAAAACTATCTAGGTTTTGGAATCATTGCATAGTACATTGTGTAAGGCTATTGTACATCCAAGTAATTTCTTTGGCACAATATTGCTGGTGGTTTTTTTGTTTGTTTTAATTTCCTGAAGTTGTAACTATGAGTAACTAAAATAATACACAACTCTGCATAAATACATCATATTAAAATAATGTATATAAATATGTTGTGTTAAAATAGTGTATGTATGCATATATCAATGCACACATATACTACACACACTTTTAATGTGTGTTTGTCATTGAAAATTCCCGAGTGAGATCCAACATGGTATTGTGCACAAGGATTGGTCTCAGGCCATTCCAGGGATCTCTATCCTGGGCCAAAGTTTGCAGCATGTGTGGCTTTTTGCTGTGTAGCTTCTTCATCTGGTGGCTGGTCTTAATCCTTTGCTGCAAGAGCAGGCTTATTTCTGGTGTCTGACTGCCACACTGGTCTCACAGCAGTCCAGAGTGACAACATAGAGTTGAAATTGTGTACCAGGAGCTTCTCTAGCTCTCAATGCGGTGTCACCTCTTTCAACCAACTCATTGGATGCCAACTGCTTGTAGTTCCCACTCTACCCATCAAAGGACCTTAGATTGGCCATATTCCAAAATGTTAAGGCTGGTGTTGTGACTGTAGGCTTAGGAGAAGGCATGGGTGATGAAAATCATAAATGAATCAAGCAGATCAGTATGCTATTTCTTTCTTTTTTTTTGCTTTACTAGAGTTTCAACTCAGGGCCTCACAGTTGCTAGGAGTATGCTATATCTTAGAGCTCCATAAACATAGATATGATAGCTTCCAACTTTAATGTCGAGTGCAACACAAGTTGTGGACAGGTAGATTTCATGCTTTAGATACCATAGGCCACAGAACCTCAGAACTGAAAACTTTCAGAGCTTACAGAAATTGTTTGAGACCTGAAAAAAAACACATATATTTGCTGTATAGTATGGAAAATGGAAATTAATAAATGTTTAGTGAACTATCCATAAAATCATGTGCTTTGCAATTTCAGCCATAGGTGTATTTAGTGTTCATTAGAATAATAGTGATTTTTAAACTAAACTGTAGGTTAGATTTTACTTTGTTGATAAATCATATCCAATCATAACTTAATAATCTGCCCATAGCCAAATGTTTTCAAAGACAAATTATAAAAATCCTTTCAAGTTTTTATACCAAAAATTATAGTAATGTGGGTTCTGGGTTCATATTAATATTTTGAAGTAGGACTATCAAAAAGGAAAATGCCTAGAGCTATTTGTGTTGTAAAACATCCCTGATTGTGGATGCCTAATTTCATGCATTTTAAAAATATATGTCTATTTAAGGGAATTATATTAGCTTATTAAGTTTGAATTTCCCAATATTTATTCTGCATTCCTTAATTAAGTATTTCCAATATTTAAGAGGATGTTCAATCCATAAGCACACATCTTCTCAGATTGTTCCCTAATATGGAATAGAAATTTTATAGATAAAGGAAAGATGTGGAAAATACAAAAATATTTTAGTTACTAGTGGTTGAAAGCATCCAACAAACTTTGTAATTAAATTGAATCCCAAAGTCATAATTTGTCAGTTATTTTTCTTGTAACATTTTCAAAATTTTTCTTTTCATTAAGTAAGAAAAACACCTTTATTCTTGAACTATTCTATCTAAAAATGTTCAGTTGTTTATGACAGTTCATGAAAGAAGTGACATAATCAAACGCAGTATGGATACTGTTGGTACCTGCTCTGACCCTATTTACCTGGCAGGTATGCCACAACCCCCATTGCTGTGAGTGCTGAGTGCTAACAGTTGTCCTCTTCCTTAGAGAATAACCCTTGGAAAGGCCATGGCCCATGATTGAGATGATAGACCTTACCATGGGTTGACTCTGTTGTATAATTCACACTCCAGGGAGCCCCATGGGATCAGGCTAAGACCTTCTCCACCTAGCCTCTTCTGCCCTCTTCTGCTTCCTCCACTGCCTTATAGGTTTCTCCTAAGATCACTTCTGCAATAAATCAGCCACAGCAGAGTCCAGGTCTGTTTCTAGAAAACTGTCCCTAAGATTTTACCATAATGGAATTTTGGCTTCTGAGAGTAGATGACCATACACCTGTCCCACATAGTTGTTGAGGTTCAAGAGTAAGGAGGATTGGTACCAGCATTTCCCCCCGTCCTGTACATTTTCACACTCATCATACCTCCAACAAACATTTCCTTATTCAGCATAAGCACTGAATTTTATTCAGGTTAAACATTTATTGAACCTATTTTGTGCCAGTGATGTGCTAGGAAGGTGTTCAGGATGCACCAATGAATAGCATTTACTTCCTAAAAAACAGGAAATAGAAATGAATGTCCTTCTGGGCACAGCCTGGAACAGTCAGGGAAGTCTCCTGCAGTGATGCTATCATTCTGATTGCCTCACAGTCATGTTGGCTGGTTTCAGGTGTGGGCTCACACCTGTAGGATCTCTTCCTATCTGGTGCTAGAGGACATTTGAGGCAGGAACCAAAAGATGTCCGTTTAAAAATGTCTTAAGTTATTAAATAGGTGCCAGAGACCTTTTATCTTATGAGAGCATAATCTAAGAAAAAATATATTATCAAAAATTTCCTTGATTTTGAATAACTAGGTTTCCAACCTTCTTAGTCTCCGGTTGTCTCACTTGCTATATGAAGGAGTTGGATAGGGGTTCTAGGGTCTCACTCATCTCTCACATATTTTGATTCTGGACATGCTACATTTAAACTGCCCTGAAAATAATTTCTTTCAACCATCATCAGTGTTACTTTTCGTTGTGTAGTTAGAAAATTGAGAATGGTTTTGTGTGTGTGTGTGTGTGTGTGTGTGTGTGTGTGTGTGTGTGTGTATGTGTGGGTAAAACTTAGTTCGTATCTGGGCTTGTCCCTGGAGCTTTCTCAGACTAATCAAAAAAAATTTTTTTGAGACAGGTTCTCATCAGGCAGCCCATCCTAGCCTGGAATTAACAAATCCTCTTGCCTCAGCCTCCTGAGTGCTGGTCTTGCAGGTGTGCACCAGCACTTTTGGCTCTATTTTTGACTAAAGTGGAAGAACAAAAAGATAGTACAATGACAACACTAGCTTGTATATCAGCATTGAGTAATGGGTATGATAACTCTAAAAATTAAGTGGTTTAATGCAGTGCAATAAAATGAAGTGGAATGAAATAAAATCTTATTGCTCATTCACAATCTAGTGCTGTCAGCAAGGGTGGATGGAGGAGTAGGGAGGGGTAAGTAGTCTCTGCCCACACAGTCATTTTCGACTCAGAGTCATTCTTTCTTGGACAGTCTTATCTTCAACACTTGGTCTCTAAAGTTGCTACAGAAGGGGAAAAGAAAGTGAAGAATCCTACATAGGAAATTTACATTGGCCAGCACTGGAACTGGCTTTTTCCATTGGCCAGAGCTCAGGCATGTGACTCTAACTTAATTGTGAGGAGACTGCAAAATGTAGCCAAGCAACTCATGCTGGCAGAAAAGGGAAACCAGAAATACCATTAGCTCTTGCTTCCTCTCGTGTTGAGACTCACTAGCTTTCTGAGGCAGAAAGAATGATGGAAGGGCTGTGCTAACCAGTGTTTTTCCTGCACACCCATCATACCCATCCTCGTGTGACCTCTCCAACTCTTGCCACTCATACCACTTCCGTTCATCCACCCTCATCTTTACTCCATTCCTTGCACCTCATGGTAGGAAGGACAATTGAATACAGGTGAGTCACTCTGAGAAGAATTTTCATCTGGAAAAGTGGCAGGGATATCAGAAAAGGAGTTGGGAGAGGCAGCAAGAAAGTTGGGTATGGTAGGTTTGAGCTGGTTGATATAGAAAATGATGATTCTAGTAGAAGATTCATTCCATGGTGAAAAGTCTGTCCTTATAGTAAGAGGTGATGTTTTGCAAAATTTTACAAACTTATAAAATTTCGATAGTGGATCCCCTCTCATGTTAACTGCATGGGAAGTGGAAAGGACAGGCATTTACAATTAAGAATTGTAACTATTTAAAAGTAAGTCATTCCAATGGCTATTTTTTTAACACACATAAAAATAACACATACACATGCACATCTAATATCTTGGGAAGATGTATTTATAAGGAACATCATTTGCTTTCTGTCTTAAACTCTTCTGGTATGGAATGGGAAGCAAGCATGTTCCACTTGCAGGCCCACCATGACATACATTCAGCAAACTGCTCAGAGTCAAAATTATCATTACAGGATGAAATATCATTACATATTCTCCTTCGGCCTGCATCCCAAGAATTGCAGACTTTCAGATACTGCAGTTCTCCTAATGCATTATAGATTCCTGTGGTAAGCATTCCTTGCCCAAGACTCTTAAGGCAGGAAAGAAGCTAATTTATCTTCTTCCCTGGTCATTAATTAGTAAGAATAGGTCCTCCTATTTATTTGTTATATTTAGCTTAATAAAAACATTTTCTGGAAACAAATTGTTTAAGTTTGTAAGTGCCATTTCTGACACCTAAAATTCTTGCACTAGACAATTTAATGGAGCCAACAGACACAAAAGTCTTGCCAAAAGCAATTCCCATGAAGAGTTTAAAAGCAGTGAATCCTTGGTAGTCCAGAGCAAGCAGCAAGACCCTCTAACCCTCAAATATTGAAAGGAATTAGGTGAGCCTGTTTTGAAAGTCATGTAAAGCTCCCACTTAGTTGATATCCTGTTTCTTTTTCCCCAGGGATTTCCTGGAAAGGATGGTTCCTCTGGCCCTCCAGGACCACCAGGGCCAATTGTAAGTATTTCCAGAAACTACTGGGATGTATTTTGCTTTAAAATATTTCATTTCTTTTGAAAAATTTTCTTCTACCACACCTTTCACTTGTCAGCCATTTTTTCCTGTGGTATTACCACTTGTCCCTTGGTATAGAGCTAAAAAAATCTTTTGAAAATGAAACAACAGTATGGCTTGATTATTCTATCCTTGATCCACTTTGCCTTAGACCATCTACATTAATTTAGTTTTCATTAGACATAGGAAAAACTTGAATTTGAAAGAACCATACCTGACCAATAGTATGTAACACACACACACATAAAAAGTCTTCCCATTCTTGGTAGGTGGGAATAGGAATGAGCAATGAATCCTGAAGTCTTGGTGATGAGGATGAGGGAAGCTACCATAGTGTGTACTAGCGACCCTGCTTGAAAGCTGGCTGTCATTCCTGAGGATGTGCGAATCCTCAACTTTGTTCTATTTCCTACCTCTCTTTTAGGGTATTCCTGGAGCCCCTGGTGTCCCAGGAATCACGGGCAGCATGGGACCACAAGGCGCCCTGGGGCCTCCTGTGAGTATGCAACAGGAGCCAGTCAAGATGTATGTCAAGATGCATGTCCCTGTCATTATTTTACTTATCTGTTTAAATTTATCAGCATCTCTGCTGGTGAGAAATGTTTATTCAGTATTGACTCGATGGGATTTCATAAAGAGAAGCTGGAAGTGCTCCTAGGCTAATGATTTAAAGGTGTTCATATGTCATGGTTTACGTCAACTGATCCAGATGCTTTTGTTCATGCAAGTTTCCATTGATTGTTATCCTATATTTGCCTAAGTAAACTATAGGATTGAGTACAATATGTAGGCATCAATCAAACCTGGCTCCCAAAGAGAAAATACAAGTCTTGAGAAATTCAGTGTTTAATAAGGATGGGAATAGGCTTTTATTTTCTAAGTTCTGACAGAAAGACTAAATTTCTCACTAAGACACACACTCACACATAAATGAACAGTGGTGTAAATGAAAGCCCAGTGACTGGAACACATTACCTCCCTTTTATGCCTCCAGTCTCTTAGGTTGTTGTTTAAATATGATCAGCGGGTGTGGGAAGGGCTAAGATGGGAGAAGCCAATGAATGCATCCAGGCCTATTTCCTCATCTGTAAAATGAGGTAATCATATTACATGGATTCCAAAGCCACACCATATCTTCTGTGACTTGCAGTTGTTCCTTCTAGATGTAGATATTAGTTAGCATTCTGATATCATGTGGGTTGTACTAAGTCCTCAAAGAATAAACTGAAGCAACTGAAGTAAGTAAAGATATGTACTACTGTACATGCTAAGAACTTGTGGAATGTTGTATTCTGATGGGTAAGGATAGAAGCACATAATGAATTAGATTTCTAGTGCTACTTACCAAATTATCACAATCCCAGTGGTTTAAAAGAATACAAATTTATTATCCTACAGGTGTGTAGGTCAGAAATTTGGCACTAGTCTTACTAGGTTAAAAGCAAGGTGTCCTAAAAAACTAGCTAGCATTTGTTGCCCTTAACGCAGAGAAACTAAAGCAGATACCTTAAAAACAACTGAGGCCAATAGGAAAAGGAGAACAGGAACTAGAGAAAAGGTTAGATCAAAAAGAATTAACCTAGAAGGTAACACCACGCACAGGAAATCAATGTGAGTCAATGCCCTGTATAGCTATCCTTATCTCAACCAGCAAAAACCCTTGTTCCTTCCTATTATGGCTTATACTCTCTCTACAACAAAATTAGAAAATAAGGGCAAAATAGTTTCTGCTGGGTATTGAGGGGGTGGGGGGGAGAGGGAGGGAGCGGGAGTAGGTGGTAAGGGAGGGGGTGGGGGCAGGGGGGAGAAATGACCCAAGCCTTGTATGCACATATGAATAATAAAAGAAAAAAAAAAAAGCAAGGTGTCAGTCAGTCCTTCCTGGAGATCCTTGAATCTAGGTACTTGATGTTTCTAGCTTCTACATGCTATCCATAATCCTTGCCTTGTGGTCCACATCCATCTTTAAATTCAGCTATGCTGTATCTCTGAGCTTTCTTCCATGGACACATTTCCTTCTTCCGTAGTAGGAAAAAGTTCTTGCTTTTAAGGATGTAAGTGATGGCATTGGCCTACCCAAATCATCCTAGCTAATCTCTCCAGATAAAACTCCAAATCCTTATCTAAGTCACATTTGCAAAGTCCCTTTTGCCACCTAAATGAGATAGTCACAGGTTCTGGGAATTAGGCATGAACATTTTAGGGAGACCTTTTTTTCTGTCTCTCATAGTCAACAAGACAAGACCAAAATACTGGCTGTGATTCAGAAAGATGCCTCTCTCCCTCTACGTGGCTAATCTTGTTCTTCTTGAAACTTGTGTCAATAAAATTTTTTATCCCTGGAGTCCTTTTCTAGGCTGTGATTCACATGGCACATACCTAAAGATGCACAAGGTATGTATTTGAATTTTAGCAAACACATCCTAATTTGCACAGCCAAGTAAGTACTAACCTTAGTAATCACTTTACAAAATTGTATGCTTATACCAACTACATTTGAACAATAATACATTGTCCAAAAACTTACACATCACACTAATATTGGGTTACAGAAGAAAACTGGATTGTTTTATCTTCATACATCTTTTCATAAAAAAAAATACAAAAAGATCTTGCCAAGTATGATCCTGTAAACACTGATACCCACATGTGTGAGCACTTGCAAACATACACTCTCTTCGTATTCCCCCTCCTTTCTCCTGCCCCTCCTCCTCCTCCTCCTACTTCTTGTTCTTTTTCTTCCTCCTCCTCCTCCCCTTCTTTCTCTCCTCCCCCCTCTTCCCCTTCCTTCCCCTCTTCTCCTCTCCTCTCTTCCTCTCCTATCTCTGCTATCCTTTCACTACAGGCTTATCTATCCATTTGATTCTAGGCTACTCCACACCAGAAATACTTAAATGCACTCTCTGCTATTAAAATTCAGCCTGCTTCTTAAAATGTGTTCTTAGAAACCAGAGTTCCAGACTATGTTGGCAGTGTTTAGGGAACAAGGGGAACTGGTCAAAGACATCAGAGGCAGTGCATGCTCAATCCTAGTAAGCCAAGGGAGATTTTAGGATTTTTTTTTTTTTTTGAGGCATCCTGAAGTAAAATAAGAAAATACCAAAACACAATCTTAACTTAGTCAGAGTGTAAACAAATTTATGTATGCATGAGGAAATCTCTTTCTTTTATTTCTTTGGGGGGGGCATTACTGAGTTTTGAACTCAGGACCTCATGTTTACTGGGCATGCCCTCTACTACTCAAGTCATGCCCCTAGCCCTTTTCTTTTTGGTTTAGTTATTTTTAATATAGGGTCTCAAATTTTTGCCTGGGACTAGCATCAGACTTCAATCCACCTACCTACGCCTCCTGTGTAGCTGGAATTGTAGACATGTCCTGCCTGGCCTTTTCTTTTTCTTATTGACATCTCCAAGAACTATTTTTTATTACACAAGCTAGGAAAGAGAAAGCCAGGGATTTATCTTTATCCAAGAAGAACAGAATAGGAGAGGGCTAAGGAAAAAAGAGCAGGCTCTGAGGTTTTGAAAGAGTTTAAATAGAGTACAGAGGGGTAAATTGAAGTCTAGAATACCTTACCCACTCACAGAGCCTTTTATGGCTCTGAATTCAACTCGAAGTATGGGGCTACAGGAATACCAATGCATCTTTCCATGAATAAAACGCATGTTAACATTATTTTTGTTATAAATCATCAGAAAAGAGCTCTTGGTGGCACAGGGGCCTCATGTCACTGGTACTTTTATCAGAGATAGAAACTATTTGGTGTGTAGATACTGGGTGGGTTACCACAGTAGGCTTGGGAATTTCCCGTCAGAAGCAAACTGTTCTCGGTATAGTCCAGCTCAGGCCTTTCCCCTGTGTCTGGGCTGCCAGTTCCTACATGTCTGTTGGCTGCCAACCTGGCATGACTGTTAAAGCAAGCCCCATGTCATGATGCTAAAACCTTGATTGATTTCCCATGGATGTCTGTCTAGGAAGGTAAGGGAAAGAGACCAAGAGGACAGACTGTACCACTGAAAATAGCAACGTGTTTCCTACAGTTGGTGCCAGAAACACTTGCTTTCCTGTACTCTAACTCCAGCTGCTCCATTCCCAGGGCAGAATGTGCAGGGCTGCTGTGATGTCCTAATTCCTACCTGAGTTTTAGGCATTGGCTTACATATAGTCCCTTCCTTACTGAGGCACAGATGCATGATGGCCAGCAAACAAGGGGCTGCTTACTTCTGGGCCACATGCTCAGCTTGACCTCAAAACAAGGAAGTAGGTCCAGTCTACATCATTCAAAGAGCTCTATAATAGAAGTCAGGATGTGACCCAGACATGACCCTACCTAGCAGTGGGAACCATGTCACTTAAGCAAAGCATGCAACCTTTCAGAACATCAGTTCCCTAATTCATTTATTGAAAATATGTGATGAGTAGGCACAATATGTACCAGAGTGGGGAGGGCTCAGTAGGATTTTAAAGATAGTCAAGACTTTTCCACATTCATACAGAATCTAGAGGAAATGATATCTTTATATATGAAGCTATAACAGGATGCAGAAGTGTGAAATGCCTTAAGGGGAAGACAAGGAAGCTGCAAGGAAATTTCTGGGAGAGAGAGAGCAAGCAAAAGGAGGAGGGATGGTAGTGGGAAGGGAAGGGGGATGGGAAGGGAGAAGGGAAGGGGAAAGGGCAGGGAGAAGGGAAGGGAAGAGAAGACGGGGAGGGAGGGGAGAAGGGAAGGGAAGGGGAGAGGAAAGAAGGGGAAATGGGAAGGGAGAAGGGGAGGGAAGAGACTGACTCCTAAGCTAAAGAGGTAGATGCAAACAGCTCTGGAAGGGCACAGCACATCACTTGGCTCTGGAAATATGGGTGGAATTCCTACTCACAAATACAGGAAAATGGCATGATTCAAGTGGGGATTGTAGTAAAACATGGGACAGACACAGTGCACCCCTGTCGTTTGTTCATTTTACTGTTTTTCAATTCTTTCTCTAGCTCCTTCACATTTCCCAGCAGGATGATCTCAGGAAGCTCCAACTGTGCCACTGGCTTCTGTTGTAGCCCTGGCCTTGTTCATTCCTCAGCTGCTGGGACATCTTTTAGTGTAACACTGGTGCATCCTTCCTCGATTTGAATCTCCTCCCCTAACCTCAGTCTCCAGAGGTTGGGCCCCACATGTTCAGTAGTGCTCTGGGCTGTTGTGTGTCACCTCCCGGTGAGGGCTTGACTAAAAGTGCATACCTGCTGTATAAAGCCAGCCTTACCTCTGCAGGTCTTCTTCCAGCTGCTGATGACTATCTCTCCACTAGTTCTTGGAAGGCAGAATTTTATGTTTGTCTTCCTAGATCCCATAAACTTCCTACAGAGCTTACTACAGGAAAAAAGGAAGGAAGGAAGGGAGGGAGGGAAGTAAGGAGGGAGGAAGGAAGGAGAGAAGGAAGGAAGGAAGTTAGCTTGTGTTCTAGTTAGATTGAGGTTCAGAGGAGCATTAGAAGGTTATTCTTACAGATTAAAGGGTCAAGTCACTGAAGATCTTTGAAGCCAGCCTAGAATGTTTGGATTTTTGTTTAACGTACGTCTTTAATATGTGGGCCATGGTTCATAAGATCATCCCTCTCCTTTTCAGCACTAAATTCTGTGACTCTGTGAATGTAGCTACTATATTTCCTTTTCTTTACATTTCAAGTGTTCCTAAAGTTAAAGGAAAAATATGCTGCTTTTTCCTGCCTCCATCTACAGGGACTATGTGTTTTCCATCAAAGCATACTTTGATGGAGTTAATGGGCCTTCACTTGCTCAGGAATTTTTATTTTGTTTTTATTTTACTTTGCAAAAATCAAAGGAAAGATGTCAGAGAAGTTGGAATAAAAAATAATTTCTTGCTGTTCCAATATTTCGCTAAAAAGATCTTTCATTCAGTCTGATTAGCTGTGTCCTTTAGCTACTTAGCAACAAGCATCCCAACACTGAGTGTGAGGAATTTCAAGCCCAATTAAACACATCCATTTCTACACCCCAGAACTTGCCAATGGCTGATGCTGTCCACTGGCCTTGTCAATCAAGTTTGCACTATAATTCCTTCTCTAAATGTGAAACATTTTCAAACAAATGACAGCAATGGAAAGGTAAAAAAGCATATTGGTGCAGAAATCAAAATATTTGGGATAAAATGGATATTTAAAATGACTTGAGTTAAAAACCTCATTCTGAATTATTAGAATCTGGTTTGGGAGGTGGTATGTTTACTTGTTTTGTTTGTTTGTTTTCAGTACTGGGGATTGAGCTCAGGGTCTTCTGCTTGGCAAGTGTTCTATTGTTAGAGTCATGTCCCAGATCCCATTGCCTTTTGGTATTTTGTTCAGATAGGATCTCTTGCTTTTCCCCAGTCTGGCCTTGGACTATGATCTTCCTACTTCCACCTCCAGATTTGCTGGGATTACCTCTCCTTTTTTGTTTAGGAAAAACAAAAAATATTTTTAATTAGGAAAAATATTACCTTTACTGGAGTGGAAGAGATTGACTAGTAGATGTGTTGAGCAGTGTCCTCCTCTAGCAATCAGTAAAGTGTATTTGAACTTCATGGATTCTGGAGCCCATTATTTTGACTCAGGTTCCAGCTTTTCCTTATTCTTACTGTATGCCCTTGGGCAAGAGCTTTAACTTCTCTGTGCATCATTTTCCTTTCTGTAATGTGGAAATACTATTTATAGGGTTGTAATAAGAAATATATGCGTTAACCTTACAGGAGTGCTGTGACAATTAAATGCATTGTCTTAGAAGGCAGTTAGAATGGTTAACTTAACAATTAACTACTGAAATTTATAGTTTTTTGATATATTAATATGTAGAGAATTCGTTTTTGATTTTTGGTTTTGTTTTGGGTCTAATACTTAAAAAGTTGTTTCTGTTAAAGTTTTATTTAGTGGTAACATAAATATCTCTTATCTCAAGGTGGACCTACCAGGGAACAGTTCTGTCTCTTTAGGGACTTACCCATTGTGAAGTCTAAAACATAAAGGAAGAAGTTGTAGCTAGTACATTTATTTCCTAAAAGAATTTGAGCTGGTGTAGGGAAAGAGCCATATAAATCTTATTTTTGCAAAAAAAAAATTTATAATGGAAAACTGGTATTTTTAAAGAGAATCAATATTTTTTTCTAATGCTCTAGAAACTGTTATCTCTTAGTTATTTTTCTTCTCTCTTTTTTTTCAATGAAAATAGTTGAAATGAAGCATAAATTGGCTAACTATGCAGACTTGAAGTAAAATTCAGTCATTCATTCGGTTAGCACATATGTTTGAGTGACAGCCACATCTCAGGCAGGCCGAGGGACGGATGGGGGATACAAAAATCTACAAGCTGGACCCAGACTCTGCCTTGTGGAACTCACATGCCAAGAAGAATCTGCTTTTATGTAGAGGTTGAAATCCTTTCCTTGCAAGCCCAGCTTTTGCATCTTTTAAAATCAATTTTTACCTCTTGTGCTATGTGTTTCTAAATAATCACCACATCATGAGATGATAGCATGTTAGTCCTGTAGAAGATTCCAGAGATCACCTAATTTAATGGCCTCACCCTTACATAGACACTTAGAGTTTAAATAACTTAAAGATCCATTGTCCTATGTTTTTCCCCAAAATAAGAGCATAAAAATTTTTAAACACATTGAAAAATTTTATGGTGAACACCCACATATCTAATACCATGTGTGTGTACACATGTGTATTTTTAAATAAAGTTCTCTTCTGCTTAATTGATTATTGGTCTCATTGGCAATCTTGGAAAATTATGGCACACTAAAAGGGGCCTTTATACTTCTAGTTGAAGCCACTATTGTACTGTTTTATTGACAAGACAAAAGGAAACTCAAATCAGAAGAAATAGCAGTTCTGGATTTATAATAAACATTTCAATTTAATTTTGGACTTAGATGAATGTTTGACTCTTCTATGCAAGGAACTAGCTAGGTGTTTTGAGAAATATAAAGTAATGTGATTTCTGGTCCTCAGTTTTAGGAATCTCTCACTATCTATAGACAAAAGAAAGAAATCTATGAAGTGACTTGCAGTTAAATGCTTATAACAATAAAGACTTAGTGTCAAATTGTTAATACTTGAATGAAGTACTGCACTAGACTAATCCTACTGGTAATATTTAATTTATAAGATTTACAGTTAATGCTTTCCTCATGTTGCAAACCTTTCATACATCCAAATGGAGAATGAGAATAAGAAATTGTAATTTTAAAGAGCAGGAAAGAGGGAAGTTTGGGACCAAATTACAAAATATTTTGATTTGGGGAACTTTGGCTTTGTTAAATGAATGTTTGAACATCACTGAGTAATTTGGAAGAGACAAAAGACTGTCACCAAAAAGTCCCCAAGCTTTCTGAGTTATATGCTAGTAGTTTCTGGGGAAATGGGACTAGTGGTTGATGGTATGGAGGGTGAAGTGGAAAGAAGTTTTTTGCAGTGAGTCTAACAAGAGTTGCCCTGTGTGAGATGAAAAGGGCAGTCAGTACCTGGGTGGTAGAGTGAAAGCCATGGATATGAGAGGAATTGTAATGCCAAAAAAAAAGATGAAAAGTGTGTGTGTGTGTGTGTGTGTGTGTGTGTGTGTGTGTGTGTGTGTGTAAATAGACATGGGGGAAGAGCAAATAAGAGAATCCATGGTGGGCTGCTGGCCTTTGCTCAGGAGAGTCCATTGTGCATTAATCTTCCCTTCCAACTCTATCTTCTGTGACTTTGCATTTAGACCTTGAAATCAGCTATAGTAGAAGCATTTCTACCTCCGATATCTGCAAACACTACACGTCAGAGCATTTTCTTTCCCTGGACCCTATGGAATAAACTGAGAATTTTGAGTTTGGATAACTGTTAATGAAACAGTTTGGAGGAGGTACTGAGTTTGGTTTGAGATCATTGAGAGTGAAGTAACAACCATGAAGAGTGTGACAAGGTGGCACATTCCCCCTATAAATTTCATTCATGCTCTTTTTAAGAGAGATTAGAAAATGATGTTTAATGAGCATTACCTCTGGATTGAAATGAAATTAGGTCACCCTTCTGAAGACACCTGTTTCACATTATAAATGTAATTTCATTGCAGAAACATGGAAAACTCCACTATTTTTTTCCAGTAAATTTTTTACAGCAATAGCAAAGTTTACAATGGTCAAGAGTAGTAAGCCACATAGCTAAATAACAATTCAGTTGAGAATTCATGCTGTCTTGTGGCAAATTAGGGGGACTCATGCCATCATGCTGGACAGAAGCCAGAGTGAGGTTGTAAGATTCCATTAATCTTATTTGAACTCCTAGATTGAGAGAAGTTCTTGACCTTCATTTTTAGAGATGGTGCCTAAAAACTAAAAACATTTAGCTACTTAGAAGAGATTCGTGAAATTAGTTATGAAACATCAGTAGAGTTCAATACACAGAGTGGTATTTAGTGTGGAAAGACATGGAGGACCTAGTCGGTGGACATGTAGGTTATAAGAGTATTGCCATGTGATTACAGTTTCAAAGCAAAAACAAAAAATTACCATGTCTCTGCCTAAAGAGTCTAAAGCAGTAAAATATTTAAAGGAGCTATTTATGCTTGGGTGGGATTATAAGTTGTTGCCTTTTTGTTCTTCTTGTTGTATAACTATTTTTACCAAAACTGAGAAAAATATTGTAATCACATATGAAAAGATGCACTAATATTACTTTTATCTGAGCACTGCTTCCTAAGTAACTTGACTTTTTTTTTTTTTTTTAATTTCTACAGGGTGTCCCTGGAGCAAAGGGAGAGCGAGGTGAACGAGTAAGTCTCCTAGGACTGTTTGCTGGCTGCAGCTGGTTGCATGGAGGCTATGAATAAGCCCCATAAAGAATGACCATTCACCACCACGGTTATTCATTGCTATTACACCAGCCCCTCTCCCTCCCTCTCTCTTACTCATTTGACTGAGAGCACTTTCCCCACTGGAAAAATCCCTGAGGGCTGGAAGTCGGGAGAGCCAGTTTCTAGTTGTACATGTGCTATTGTCCAGCTCAATGACCTTGGGTCCCATTCCTTAAGATAAAATATAGAAAATGAAACTCATTTAACTCACAAAGTAAATTTGGTATAGAAATTATATAATGGCTGTGAAAGGGCTTTAGAATACGTATAGCTTTACTCTGATGCCAAGTAGCTGGCATGGGACTGCTGATTTTCTGATGGCCCTACGTCAGCACCCAGGAAGATAATGATAGGATAGAATCAATGAACTGACCCCAAATTTAAATCAATATATTTTAAGGGTCTTCTTTCTTCTTTCAGAAGCTGTGTATCTGCTAATATCATTGTTGACTAGTAGAAACAGCAGTGGTTTTAGGCTCAACCAGTTACCTCAGCAAAAACTTGGCGATGTGTTTAACACTGGTCAGTTATAAAATGGGTTTAACATCTTTCCTCTGATTTATTATTAATATTAAATGAGTCACTGCTTAAGAAAATGCTATATTTTATAAGCTGTAAGGAGCTATAAATGAGGCATTAAGTATATGTGGCTTTGTTTCAAAACTCTTTTTTGAAACAAAAAAATATTTTTTTAGAATCAGGGACCAGAAATGCTTATTTGAGCTTTTTTAGTCAAATAAGGACTCTCAAGAGCCTTGAACCATTCATGCAATTACCTCCTTCTCTGTGTGCACCATGGTAGTTCATTGTCCCTGTTGCCAGGAGCCCAGATCCCTGCTGGGAGCAATGGGTCAGCTCAGCTGTGTCCTGCTGTGTGGCAACGCTGTGGCTATGCTTTATGGATGTGCTTTCTTCTCATCTAGGGTGATCTGCAGTCTCAAGCCATGGTGAGGGCAGTAGCACGTCAAGTATGTGAGCAGCTCATCCAGAGTAAGTGTGTTATAGTCACCTAGGTGGTGTCTTACTCTACTACAAATGGGATTGGCCTTTCCTGTGACATCTGTCTTGGTGCAGACACATAGCTTTACAACTTTCACCACTGATCCACCTAGGAGAGCTTTACTGATCACCTCTGAGTTCTACATCAATGGTACAGAAGCCAAACTCTGTGTGACCAGTCCCAAAAATACCACTTTGCAACTTGACTGCCCAAATCAAATCTGCTATTCCATCCTCTCCCTCACAAGGCATAGCTGTTCTTTTTTCTTGAGTGCTGGGCCCTTGAAAGCTGCCAGGCTGCATCTTCAGAGGCTACCTTCAAAAAATACAGTTCATGGTGTTGATTTCTATGAACTAGCAAGATTTAAATCACTGTCTCCCTCTTAATCACTTTACAGCTGTTATCTTTTGTTGAGTCCAAGGTCCTTTCCTTTATTCCTTAGGCATTATGCTAAAATGCACACAGAGAGAGGAAGAGAGGGAGAAAGGGAAGGAGGGAGAGAGAGAGAGAGAGAGAATGTGATATTTGATAGGACACTGGTTCTGGCCTTGGTTCTCAAATTATACTAAACACATTTGCTCCTACGCCTGTTCCATTTCTTAAATTTAATCTTGAAATTTTTTTACTACACTGTATTTCAATCACTGATTCCTGTCTGCTCACTTGTATACACACTGATTTGCATGTTTGCCCTGCCCATTGGCTACACATTTTGTCTCAACAATCTAATCATACATAGAGCTCTTGGGTGGGTCTTTCTCTTTGCTGGTAACTTGTTCAGTTCCAGAAGATCTGAGACCAAGTAAGAAAACATTCTCCTCAAATGCACCCAGCTGTCACCTAGCTCTGCGTCTGCTCATCCCTGCACTGACAGTGCCCTCCCCATCCAGGTCTGACGTTTGTGGAACTGCTGCCATTTCAGCTTCAGGGTGCTATTTATTTTGAGCCAGGGTCATTTGGGAGTCAAACCAGGGAAACCCCACATAAGTCCAAGAAGACCCTATTGGCCTGGTCCAAAACTCCACCTATAGTTCTAAGATAAACCCAGATCCTGCCCAGGGGAAGGTGTGAAAGGAAGCTCTCTCTGGGCTTGGAAGAGTTTTCACTAAGACAAAACCATCAGGGCAAATGGAAGACAAAGCTACTACCTTTAGTCACAGTAGTTCTGCCCCTTGTATATGTGTGGGATACAGAATTTAAACTGTTCCAATTCAATTCCAAAACAGAGTTTCTAAAAACAATCAGTTCAAAAAGCAAAAGTGAACTTTAGTCACTTTTGGAGTAGAATGCATCCATGGCTAAGCAGTGTCCTGAACTATTTCACAGGTGTCTCATTTCAAGCGGACATGTGGATAAATAGGACATCATTATTTTATGGGTTAAATCTTCTTATGACTCACCAACAATCCATGAGGAAAGTTTTACAGTAATTGCTACCTTATTCCTCTACAGAATGAGAACCTCACATAAATATGTGATTATTTAAAACATGCCCTCCAAACTAAGAGCTTCAATTTGAGATTTCTCCCTCAACATCCCTCTGATTCCTGTGAATGACTTTTAGAAAGTGGAGTCAATGAGTTAGACAAGAGCTTCAACCCATGTGTGAAAACAGGATATCCCACTTATCAGTGCAGTTGAAAGAGAAAGAAATCAAAGAAATGGCATGCAGCTTACTCAAGGCTCTACTTCTAGCACCTAAATTGTCTTCCTAACATTGCTTCAGTTTTCACTGGGCTCTTTATTTTATTCCTTAGACCTCCACTCAGAATATGATTTATTGGTTAGCATCTAATTCCTTATAGACTTAGTCATTTTGTATCAAGTTCTTAGTAAATCAGAAGTATTATGCTAAAATGAATTCTATGGGGAACTGTGAGGCTGAAGTGACAACAGTTGGGAAAGTGATAAAGGGCAGCCCCTTGTCAAAGAAGGAAGCTGAATGACAAATGTAGAAATATCTCATCTGCTCAAATGACAGTAGACACAGTCACAGTCCTAGGCTTAAGAATATATTGGCTATATTTTAGAAGTACTTCCTTAAAAATGGCTACTATTTCTATTTAAACTTAAATATTTGGAAGGAGATCAATAATAGTCATCTAGAAAATTCATTTATGTGAGACATTCTCATTTGCAGATGATACAGGAAAAATGAGGCATTGTGTACCAAGTGCTTTGTAAATCTGCACTTCTAATTATTAAAATACATTCTTCCAGGCATAAGTGAGTTAAGGGATTATGAAAGAGAGTGCCAGATTTTTTTTGGCAAAGCTAGTGGGAGTTTCTGCAGCTGGGACTCAAGTTAAAGGTTTGTGAAGAAAAAAAATGCCTTGCAACTGAGAGCTTAGTGGAGACAGAGGACTTGTCTGGGGATCTGTCAGCAAGAGGGTGGAGTAGCTTTGCATGTTAGAAAACTGAGTAACATGGGGAGAAATTGCTGGAGAAAAAGGCAGCTAAGTGAGGGCTTAAAGGTCAGATAAATGTTGGGGGTAAAGATAAAATTTATGACTTCTGCTTAGTGATGTTTATTACAATGTTGATGTGTGCTGTGGAATTCCAAACATATGAGATGTGACTGAAATAGAATCCAACTGTTAATATCATCCGAAACAAAATGTAAAAAATTCTAAGTTAACAATTGGCATATCTCTGAGGGGCGTGCTTTCTTCCTTAGTGGATATCTAACAGAAATGTTTGGAGTGTAAGGAATAACACACCAGTCCTCCCTTTATTTGTGTGACTTCATTGAATGCTGTCTGTATGTCTCCTTCTTCAGGTCACATGGCCAGGTACACGGACATCCTCAACCAGATCCCCAGTCACTCCTCATCCATCCGGACCATCCAAGGGCCTCCTGGGGAGCCAGGGAGACCAGGCTCACCTGGAACTCCTGGTGAACAAGGACCTCCAGGTGCACCAGGCTTCCCAGGAAATGCAGGTGTGCCGGGGACCCCAGGAGAACGAGGTAAGTCAGGCCACTCCTCTCATAGGAACTTCCAGAAAAGGGTACAGGGATGCAGAGCACAACTGCAGTGCTTACACAATGACAAAATCTGAAATAATGAACCAAAATTTCAATTTCCTATTTATTTACCTCCAAGGTTGAGAAAATTGAGCAGTGTACAGCACATTTACCAAAAGCAACTTCTCCCTGTATGACAAAGAGGGGTGATAGCCCCAACTCATCTGTAAGAGACTTTTGAGCCCCATTAGATGGATGAATTCAGGTGTCCCTTCCAGTTTGAAGAATTAGAAATGATGCTCCCCTCTGGCAGATGTTGTATCACATGTATGTCTTGGTAAACACAGAAATGAATCTGTATGTAGATCTGATGTTTTGCTTTTGTTTTGTGTGTGCATGCAGTGCCCAGTGGTAATCTTGAGAAGAGTCGTGAGTCATAATGACACATGGTTCATGTAATTCTATATCAACCATACCATTTTAAGCTTCAAATTAAAATATTATTTGTGTAATCATCTTATAATAGGAGGCAACAGCTTATTTAATAGTTTTTTGGGCCAATGATTTATCTTTCCCATTAAAGTTTCATTAAAATAGAGAAATAGAGATCCTACGTAGCCTTTTCTTCTGCCATCTGTGGTCTTGCAAGCATTGTGTAAGACAATGATAACTCCTTTTTTTGATTGAATTTTATCTACTTTCAATAATTGACCAAGATCTCTCATTCCAGAAGTAGAAAAAGAGAAGTGGGAATTTGGCATGACATATGAACCATGATGAAAGTGACAGGGAAAAGAGATAAATGGTCAAAGTATTGTCTAAGACACACTTTCTCAAATGCAGATCTGAGAGAAGCTAACTATTGCCTGTCTGCTCTGTAAATCACACACTTTGTGAGATGGGTGGCATGTATGGGTTTCATAACATTTGATATGTAAAATGCAGATTACAAAGATAACATTTCACCATCATTCTTTTTTTTTTTTTTCTGGTAGGACAGGGGTTTGAACTCAGAGCTTCTTGCTTGCTACCACCTGTGGCACACTTCTAGCCCTTTTTGCCATGATTATTTTAGAGATGAGGGTCTGACATTTTTCCCAGGCCAGCCTGGACCACTCTCCTCCTATTTTATGCTTCCAGCCTTCACTGGGATAAGAGGAGTGCACCACTATACCTAAAACATTTTCCATTGAGGTGGGGGTCTTGCAAACTTTTCTGTCTAGGCTGGTCTGGAACTGAGATCCTCCCCATCTCAGTCTCCCAAGTAGCTGGGATTATAGAAATGAGTCACTGGTGCCTGACTTCAGATTCATTCTTTACCCGTGCCAATAGGCCTTGTACATTTCTGCCTCTGTACTTGTATACACAGTTTTCTTCTTTTAGAAATATCCTTCCCTTCCCTTGTCTTATTCTTGGTTCAAGGCTCAGCTTAACTCCTGTCTCATTCATGAAGTTTTTATTGATCACCCTAGACCACTGATATCTCCACCCTGAACACCTGATGCTCTTCCTGTCTCTTCCTCCCATGTGGGTGCTCTTCAGATGTTAATGAACAGCTTCATGGCTGAGCACAGCACATTGTGAATGGCTTCTGCACAATGCTTTGTACTTAATAGGCACTCAGCAGATGGTAATGATTTTTCTTTCTGAAAGTTTTCCTCTGTGTCAGCAGTCTTTGAGAAGGGCAGAATTCCCTCACAACAGGCCAAAGGTCTGGCAGCCTGGGAGGTGGCCACCCCTGTCTGCAGGGCACCCTCGGATGGTGTAAGGATGAAGAAACTGTTGACTTAGGACACACAGAGCCAGTGCCTGAGTCACTCCCAGGAGTCACAAGTTGTCAATGTTCTTTTGGAAATTCTTGCCAAACTGAGTCTTTCCTTCTCTGCAAGATTACTTGAGTGATTAGATGAGAGAAAATCATCCAGGAATTCTCAATTAGTGGCCAGGACAACTGTCGAAAATATGAATTTGCATGATGTAAATTTCTTACATGCATGTAGATGTGTATTCCTTAAGAGTGCAGTAGACAAATGAAGTCCTGTGCTGCAAATACACAGAAGTTGACAGTAAGAGAGAGTGAGAAATGCCCTGTGAGCATGGGGAAGAGTGGTTTGTGTTGGGGTGTTAGAGGATTAGCAGATTGGAGTTCATAGGTCAGCATCCAATGGGTTTTTCATTCTCTGCAAAGTGTTTCAGTTACAGTGAGGATTCATTCCTGCAAAGTGAGTACTGAGGTTTTTATCATAGCTTTGTGATCCAAACACCCCAGGAAAGATTAAAGGGGAAAACAAGTATCATTCTTCAAGCCCAAACAATAGACTTTTGCAACTGATGTCTTCAGCCATCTGTTCTTCTGACCCTCCTGTTTTATATAAAAGAAAGCATATGAAGGTACTGAGGCCAAAAGAAGCTTAATGTCAGCCAATGTCAGGACTAAAAATAGGAACCAGAGGCCCCTATTTTTTCTGCCTGTATAAACTGATTATCATGATGCTTTATAAGACAATCTTAAAAGGACACTAGATTGTAATGAGGAAAAATACGTGCTATTAGCAGGCAGTATAATAAACTATGAAAGCAGGGTTAAAAGAAATGTCTGTTGAGTTGTCTGGCATGGGACTCAAATGGACCTTACTTTCTGCTGAGACTTTGTTAGTCTCCAGACACATGACTTCCTGCACTTTGGTGCTGATTTTTCATCAAAAGTGCTCCACCCAGTTTCACTGTTGCAGTTTTTCAAACTTTTAAAAACATGATTCACAATAAAATAAAATGTAATGTAGAATGTGCATGCATATATATGCACACAAATATATAACTGAAGCAAAGAAATAACACTCTTATTGTTGTTTTCTATTTTCTTTGGATTCGTGACCTTAATTTGCAAAATACTATTTTGGCATAGTACCTTTGATTAACTCCATCCTTATCAAAGAAATGGCCAAAAATATACGTGTTTACAGAGCAGGAGGCATTCCCTCCATCTTGGCAATGTGACTTTCCATGACTCTCCTCACTACCTAGTAGAGATTGTATTTTTGTTCCATTTGATTGTCTGCCTCTCTCCTCATTAACACAGCGTCTCCTTTAATTTAAACAAAGTCTCCTTCATCAGTTTGTGTGGACCAGAAGTCTTTCAGCTGTCTTCTCAGCTGGTAATAGGTAGAATCCTTGGAAGGTAAGGATCCAGAGGGATTCTGTACTGCATGCTGCTCAAGTTTTCCATCTTGTACCTGAACTCCAACTTGGATTGTCTAATTATTGGCATTAAACATTGATGAGGCCACATTTTGTGGTTCAGTTTGTCACCTACTTTTTCTTGTCATGTTACTTTCTGTCAAAGAAAAGCTGTTCCCAGGGACTACCATTTGGTTACTTCTTTCCATTAAACACTGCACTGCCTGCAGGTAAATCGTTCTTTATACCTTGGTTCTTGTTATTCCAAAATTCAGGAAAGTGGAAGGATCAGCCTGAAAGTTCCCATTTTATTCCTAAACTGTCACAATCTCCAGCCAGCTCTACTGACTTCAACTGCCTCTGCAGTCCTGGCATTTGCTGATCCCAGCTGGAATCCCTTTGATAACAGACCTATTTCTAATTCTGATCTCTCCCAGTATTCCTGGGTCTCTCATCTGTTCATTTCTTTACTCCATTTATTTAAATGCTTGTTATCCAAAATTAACCAAGTCAAGAATGAGTTTCTTTATATACTTGAAATGGTTTTCCTTATTTAAATTGAAAGGAACCAGGAATCTTCCCTATTTCAATCTTTGTAAAACTCCTTCAGTTTCTGTGATTCTTCAAAAATTATTGGATCAGAGGCACACTCAACTTAAGATTTTCATTTTTATATTGTTCATCCATAACAGCTGGAATTCATATCTGGTTTGTTTTGCACAATAAATCAGCAAATAGTTATTGAATGCAGGGTTTATGTAAGTCTCTTTGGCTTAACTGTGTGTGAGATAATACTGTTATTTGTGGTTTTCATTTATTAAGTACCAAGTACATCTGCCAGCTATTATTGTTCAGACCTATGCATGTACTATCTCGTTCAGAGAAAATAGAAGAGCTCGTTTGGATAAGGAAAGAATAGGAAATGTTCCTGAATGTAGAAGTTGGGAGATGGCAGCTGCTCAGTGTGTTATATAAAAGTAAATAGTGTCAGATGCCACTGTTGTCTTTGATAAGCAAGTGTGTTAGGATTGGTGGAGTGGCTCAAGTGGTGGAGCACTTGCCAGCAAGCATGAGGCCCTAAGTTCAAACTCTAGTACTGCCAAAAAAAATGGGTGCTAGTGTATATTAAGTAAATATTATGTGTTGATTGCTAAGCATGTTATGCTCATAAAATTGTAGGGGATCAGAATTAGCCCCATTTTTAGGTGAAGAAACTGAGGCTCATTCAGACTGTTAATTGTGTGGAGTTGCACAGCCGAGCAAGGGAACTAAATTAAAATATCTGTGTTGCTCTACTCTGCCCTGTTCCTATCTCTGAATTAATTGTTTAGTGGGAGTTCCACAGAGGAGAGCCAGGGTTATGTAGTGTCTGGTAATCCCTGTTTTAGGAGGATTCCTAATAGCCACAAATTCAAAATATTCTACCTACTGAACTGGCCAGAATGACTTGTTAGTTGTGATTGTATTATTTGCATACTTCTTGTGCAGTCCTGTTTATGGATAACCTGGGGGCATCTATGCCTCTGCAAATGACCCAGTAAAGCTGGGTCATTCATGAGGTAAATATGAAGTGATAGAAACATTTCCATGGTGATTCAATTTGGCACATGACAATTCTAGGATTCCCAAGGCTGTATAAAAGAGTCCAACCAGGGGAATTACCTATAGAGAAACAATTGTGGATCTGGCACTTTGGGCTGCAGCTAGCGAAGTTGTATTTCTATTCCTTCATCTGACCTTGGAGAAAAAGAGGGGAGAGACCCGGAATGACACAATCATTCTTGTTTTACTTCTGATATTTTAGAAAAGAAACCATTTATATCTCT